GGCGGTCCCGGGACCACCGGAACCCCCCGGGACCCCCCCGGGCCACTCTCGGGACCACCGGGACGCCCCCTGCACTCCCGGAGTTACCGGAGCCTCCCGGGACGCCCTCGGACACTTCCCGAACCCCCCCGGGCGACTCCCGGGACCACCAGAACCCCCCAGAACCCCCCAAAACAGCCCCGGGACGGTCCCGGGACCCCCCCCTCGCCCCTCCCGGAGCCGCCGCCCGTCCCGGTTCTGTCCCGGTTGTGTCCCCGCCGGTACCTGCGGGCTCAGCTGCCGGGCCGGGCCATGCCCGGTGCCGGTTCCTGGCGGTCCCGGAGCGGGTCCGTGCGGAGTGGCCGCGCCCGGGCGGGTCCCGGCTCTTGTAGGGCGGCGGAGCCTCCCCCGCCCCGCGGGGAGGGCCCGGCCCGGCCCGGCCCCGGGACAGGGAGCGGCCCGGGACAGCCCCGGAGCGGCAGCGGGAGCGGCCGCGGGAGGATCCGGCCCGGTTCTGGGAACGCTTCTGGGCCCGATCCCTGTCCTGGGACCGGGCCCGGACCAGCTCCGAACCCGGAACCGGGAACCGGCAACCGGTTCTGACCCCGGTACCGCTTCTGACCCCGATCCCGGTTCTGATCCCGGGTCGGTTCTGATCCCGATCCCGGTCCCGGTTCTGATCCCGGGTCGGTTCCGATCCCGATCCCGGTTCTGATCCCGGGTCGGTTCTGATCCCGGTCCCGGTTCTGATCCCAGGTCGGTTCTGATCCCGATCCCGGTTCTGATCCCGGTCCCGGTTCTGATCCCGGTCCCGGTCCGGTCCCCATGCCGGTTCTGATCCCGGTCCCGGTTCTGATCCCGGTCCCGGTTCTGATCCCAGGTCGGTTCTGATCCCGATCCCGGTTCTGATCCCGGTCCCGGTTCTGATCCCAGGTCGGTTCTGATCCCGATCCCGGTTCTGATCCCGGTCCCGGTTCTGATCCCGATCCCGGTCCCGGTTCCGAGCCGGGGCGGTTCTGATCCCGATCTCGATCCCGGTTCTGATCCCGGTCCCGGTTCTGATCCCGATCCCGGTTCTGATCCCGGTCCCGGTTCTGATCCCGGTCCCGGTTCTGATCCCAGGTCGGTTCTGATCCCGATCCCGGTTCTGATCCCGGTCCCGGTTCTGATCCCGATCCCGGTCCCGGTTCCGAGCCGGGGCGGTTCTGATCCCGATCTCGATCCCGGTTCTGATCCCGGTCCCGGTTCTGATCCCGATCCTGGTCCCGGTTCCGAGCCGGGGCGGTTCTGATCCCGCTCCAGTCTCGGTTTTACTCCGGGTCCCGGTTCTGATCCCGGTCCCGGTTCTGATCCCGCTCCTGGTCCAGTTCCGGTCCTGGTCCCGATCCGGTCCCGCTCCTAAATCTGATGCGGTGCCGGTTCTGATTCCGGTCCAGTTCCGGTCCTGGTCCTGATCCGATCCCGGTCCCTGTCCACTTTCAGTCCCGGTTCTGCTCCTGTTCCCGAGCCGGTCCCGGTCCGTGTCCTGACCCCATCCAGTCCCGGTCCCGGTTCCGATCCAGTCCCGGTCCGGTTCCGATCCTGCTCCTGATCCGATCCCGGTTCCAGTCCCGGTCCAGTTTCAGTTGCGGTTCTGCTCCTGTTCCCGAGCCGGTCCCGGTCCCGGTCCCGGTCCCGGTTCCGATCCAATCCCGGTCCCGGTTCCGATCCAATCCCGGTCCCTGTCCCGGTTCCGATCCAATCCCGGTCCCTGTCCCGGTCCCGATCCAATCCCGGTCCCGGTCCCGGTCCCGGTCCCGGTCCCGGTTCCGATCCAGTCCCGGTCCCTGTCCCGGTCCCGATCCAATCCCGGTCCCGGTCCCGGTCCCGGTCCCGGTCCCGGTTCCGATCCAATCCCGGTCCCTGTCCCGGTCCCGATCCAATCCCGGTCCCGGTCCCGGTTCCGATCCAATCCCGGTCCCGGTTCCGATCCAATCCCGGTCCCGGTCCCGGTTCCGATCCAATCCCGGTTCCGGTTCCGGTTCCATTGAACGAGCCCAGAACGGGCCCCCCCCGGTCCCCTCCCCCCCCCCCGGTTCTTTGCCCCCCCAA